TGACGATTTAATATAAACACATGCATATATAATCTATTATTTCTTTTGTTGTACATTTGTAAAGATTAAAATTATATATGTATGTGTTTAAATTAAATCGTCAATATGTTACATTAAATCATCACAACACTGTAAAATATCTATATACCGATATTTTTATAAGAGTGTGCCTAGATATAGATACTACATTTTTGTATCTTGTATCTAGATACTTTAACAACTCTGCAGCTGACTCCTATATACACTTTAAAGTCATTTAATAATTAAATCGCCAATAATATAGCTTATAAACAAGCCATACGCTCTCGTCACTTTCAATATTATTCTTTAATCATAAATTATAACGTAAAACAGAATCATACCTCAAAATATTTTTTATAATTATAGAAATCAAAATACATTTGTATAACATTACAACTAAACATGCTATAAAGAATAAATTATTAAACTGAAAAAAAATATGTTGTATTCCATATCAAATCAACTGAAGATTCAACCCGACCCCCTTCGATTTTTTTTAAAATTTGTATGATGGTAGTATATAAACTAACTAGTAAAAATATAAAATTTTAATTTTCAACTCAGCTTACTTCATGAGATATGGCCATCTTTAGAAACGCGGAAATTCCAAAACACACTATATTTAATTTTAAATATCTCAAAAAGTAAATAAGCTAAAGACACGATTTAAATTTTATTAAATAGCTCTTTAATATGACATAAAATTTATTTTATTGAAAAAAAAGTCTATCACCAAAAACCGGAAATGGCTATAAAATAAAAATTGCTCTTTTTTTTCTTTTAAATTTTTTTTACAGATAGACATTATACTTCTTAATATTTGTACAAATTCCTAGATTGGGAAGAATACTAGGTCAATAGTTATTACACTTTAAATATAAGTAGTATGGCTTAAATCCTATATTATACCAAATATGGAGTAATTATTTTTTAAAAAAGTGGACAATATATGTGAATAATAGCATTAAAACTAAAATCCTAAAAATCTTATTATTTTGCATTTTTTAAATGTTAAAAAACTCAAAACAACATTTACCAATTGTATTATATTATTTTAAATATAACACAAAACGCCTTAATTTGGAGGCATTATAAGGAATAAATAATAAGATTTTGTAAAAAGTAATAAAGTAACAACTATGATAATAAAAAGTGAGCTCAATAATATCTTCACCCCAACCTAAAGATCATATTCGTCCCAAATTTCTTCTTAAATTTGAGATTTTTAGACCTGGCAACTCTGTGAGTGAATGATGAAGTTTATTTTTCATTGCCAGATAATTAATTATTATTGTGATCGTCAGAAGTATATTTTCATTTTAAAGATTATTTTAATCTACTTATAATTAATTAAAACAATTATATTTGACATAAAGTAAATATTCAAAATTAATTCCAACAGCAACAGCCGTCATTTTTATTGATTAATTTTACATAGCCATTTTTCTAAGAAATTAAATTTATTTATTAATTTAAAAAAATTATATTTTAAATGTCTATAATTCCTGTAAAGTGCTGCAACACATTTCAAATAAAATCTCTCAGTACGTTACGATCTTAGAGGTGTTTTACAGTGAATGATACAAGTGAATTCTAGCTTATCAATTAATCAAAAAATTTGTAGTTCTTGCAGGAAAAAAAAATATTCAACAAATCCCATCTTACCTTTTACTTCTACGATCCCTATCACATTACCTTCTATTAATTTTAAGTTAATTATAATTGGTGGTAAATTAGATAAGTTAACTGCAAACCAGCATAACTTTCCATTTCCTCCCTTAAAAGATTATAAATATTACATTGCACAAAGTCTATGCAATCCAGGCAGCATTGCTGTTACTTATGGAAATGACAAATGTGTCCCGGCACTTTGGAACTTAAAAAAATATACACTTATTGTTTGATAATAATGCCATAGATTATATAACATTTAAACAATGGTTGGCAGCTGACCGTACTACAACTTTAACAAAGTGCGCCAACGAATTTGTGGAGTATTTGATTGAAATATTAAACATTTTAATTCCTCATGCATTTATTTCTTCGGAACAAGTCATTAAAATCGAATTTAAAGGATGGGGAATATCTAATAATATCTGATTTTGCAGAGAACTACGCTTTTGTAGTTCAAGATCACGCTCAAGGTTTTCATTAGACTAATAATCAGGCAACACTTCATCCATTTATGATTTATTACCACGAAAGCTATATCATCAAACAGGTATACGTGGTTATATCAGATTGTCTAAAACACAATACTTTCCTTTCATTTATTTCAAATAAAATTAATTCTATTCTTGAAAGAAAGATTTGATAAGATTTCAATAATATTTTATTTTTCTGATGGAACTGTTACTCATTATAAAAACAAAAAAAACTTTGTAAACCTTTATAAACATTAGGCAGAATGGATTTTTTATAATGCACATGGCAAAACCCCTTGCGATAGTTTATGGGGAATTACTAAGAGGTTGGCGGCTAGAGCAAGCCTGCAACGTCCTCATGAAAATCATATAATAACTCCTATTGAGTTATATAATTATGCGATAATCAATATCCCGGGAATTAATTATATATTAGTTAGCAACGTAGAACATTTAAGAATGGAAATCAATCTTGAAAATAGATTTTTAATGGCCAAACGAATTCCCGGGACACAAAAATATCTATTCCAATGGAAGGAAAAATGAAAGTCAAATTTTATTCTAATTCATTAGATTATTTAATGTATGATATTATTTAATTAATATGTTTATTAGAATATTAATTTTCCATTAATTAGCTAAATAAAGTTATAAATATTTTTACAATTATTTTCCTTCTAAAATAAAATAGCTAAACTTATGTGCTAAATATGACACAAAGTCTGCTAGTGATCTGCATAGGCCTAATTTTTCTAACACGGCCAAAAAGATTTATAAAAAAATATATCTGGCCCGATCCTAAACAAATTTTCTTTTGTTTCGTAAATTACTATACATTTAGTATAATATAGGATTTAAGCCATACTACTTATATTTAAAGTGTAATAACTTTTGGCACAGTACTCGTCCCAATCTAGAATTTTGTACAAATATTAAGTATAATGTCTATCTGTAAAAAAAATTTAAAAGAAAAAAAAGATAGCCATTTCCGGTTTTTGGTAATAAACATTTTTTCAACAAAATAAATTTTATATCATAATAAAGAGCTATTTAATAAAATTAAAATCATGTCTTTAGCTTAATTACTTTTGGAATTTCCACCTTTCTAAAGATGGCCATATCTCATGAAGTAAGGCGATTTGAAAAGTAAAATTTTACATTTTTATTAGTTAGTGTTATATACTACCAACATACAAATTTTTAAAAAAATCGAAGGGGGTCGGGTTGAGAATCAACTTTTTTTGGTTGATTTAATATGGAATACAACATATATCTTGATTTGATGCTAACATAATAACTGACAATATTTTCATTTTTTTTCTTGTGAAATTAAGGGTCATATTTTTCTTTCAAGTCAAAATATCTATAATTCGTTAAACACATGATATAATAATAGGATAAGGAGATTTAGGGAGTTATTGAGTAGATTTTACATGTCTTGGGTAATTAGCAGACAATAATTCTTGTTTTGATAAGGCGCTATGAGAGGGAGTTGTCATGCATAAAAATCATATTTGATTGACCATGACTTTGGTATACTATGGTAAAATATAGGTGATTAATATAAACATCAGAACTTATCTTCATTCTTTGCGAATTAACATAACTTTATCAATATAAAATCTTCATTTCTATTATCTTCAAAATTATTCGATTATATCGTGTTAAAAAAAAGGCAATTTATACTCAGATATGTTTGATAATCTCTAGATATTTTGTTATACTTTTAATTTACGATATAAAATGATGGTCCAGCTAAAATCGAAGATAATGGGAACCATCTATCCCGTTTTTTTTAAAAAGGGTCTGCATTTTTTTTTGTCAACTATCATTATTAATCTCAATTTTCTAGTAGTGAATAACTATATCGTTTTCTAAAAAAAATTTGAAGCTATATATATAATCCTAATATTAAGATAAAAATATTATTCCAAAATGGAAATTGAACAATAATTTTAAACATTTTTTTTCTTAAATTAACCTATTAGAACAGGAAGGAAGATTATGGTAGAGCTAATATATATTTAATGGTAATTTTATAAGGGAATTAATATAAAAGGCTCCTTTAGAGTAATCTATTTGCAGCTCAAGCGAAAGTGCTATATTATCAAAAATTAAATACCAATAAATGTTTAAAAAAAATTTATTCTTTATTTAATGGTAATAAAAAAATATTTATTTAATTCAAATTAAAACGGCATTCTTTTTTTTAGAAAAAAGTTATTTCATACATATGCACTCAACCTTTTAATTCTATATTATAGCATCAATTTATATAATTTAAAGTAAAAATTATGAATTAAGTTTTAAAAACATGATTTATCTTTAAATTTCTATCATTTTAATTAAAACAATTTTAAGATACAGAATATAATAACCTTTAAGTTTTCTATTCTTTTAGCTAAAATATAATTATTCTTAAATACCATGGATTTTTGCTGATGTAGTAGTAACAATAATAATATAACCATGGGACAGTCTATAGATTTATGAAGACGAGTATTTTGTAACCGGTATTTACAAAATGAAATTTATAATTTTATAAATATTATAATCATTTTTTATTTATCAAGTAATATTGATATTGGTATAATTTTATAAAAATGATTATGTGTATGTAAAATTGAAAAAATAACCTTTTAATTTATTTTTTTAATATATTTTTTATTGTTTAATTTATTTATTAAAACTATTATATATAATATCTATAAGAATGTAAAATAACAAAATAATAATTTAAACTTTAAAAAAAATTAGTTTTAAGGAAAACATAATTGAGTTCCTAAAAAGGAACAATAGTTAAATTAAATAAATATATTGATTTGTACTTTTAATACTAATATCACAACAAATTTTAGAAAAAGGAAGATAATCAATAAATAACAACCTATTTTAATTCTGCAAAGATGAATTGAATGGATTTTTTATAATATTCTAGAAAGTTAAGTGTATGCATAATGAAATATGTAATCATTGGTATGGCACAATAACTTACCTATTCGTACAGTAAGAAAATGAGTCGTGTTTTATTGGAATACAAAATCTGCTATAAAAAAAATTCGAAATAGCCAATGATCGTGCAAAAATTATGCGGATCGATTATAAATCATTATTTTCTTAGAAGTTATGCATAATAAATAAAAAATATGATAATAGAAAAAAGGAACGTATTAAATGTGTGCATCAACGAATTCCTCCTTTCATTTCGGACGCCAATTTGTAGGCCGTTATTTTTTCCCAATCTATCTTGGTACGAGTGATGGGTAATTGCCTTCTCAGAGCCTTAAAAGTCGTCTCGGACATATTTTGGTAACAGTCGCTGAGAGATGTCTGCATTATTATTATTGAAAAAATGTAATTTTTTTTGCATAAAAATCTCAAAAGACTTACAAAAAATATTTGGTAGTGCTATAAGCATTACTTCAAACGGGTTACTTTTGGGATAACTTTGCAAAAGAAGTAATGCGTTACAGTTATTCGTTGGTAAAGATAACGGATTACACGTTACTAAGAAATAAAGTATTACCTATTACGTAAAATAAATTTTTTCCCCTTAAATAATTAAGTTGAACAAAAATACCATATTATATTTACATGAGATAAGTTCGTTTTGTAATAATTTTTTTATTTTTAACAATTGATTTTTAAAATTTTGGTAAATAAAGAAGAGGGCTCGTTTAGTGCTACACAGTTTTCGTTGAGCTGAAAACCGCTCAACTGGCACAGAGGATGGGGAATTGTACTAAATTTAATAAATTTTAATTGGTAGAATTTATTAAAAATATTAAAGAAAAACTTATTAGCTCAATTATCAGAAGAATCTTTAAGATCCTCATCAAAATTTTATTTTTATCTTATTGCATTTAAAATAAAATTGTTTGTTGCTTAGCAATAGCAAATTGTTATGTTAACTTTAACTTTGCACCTTAACATAACCGAATGTTAGGTAGTTCGAATGTTAGGTAGTTGATCTGAATTAAAAACTCGGCTAAATTATTTATAAAATCTAAAAATATGTTATATAATATATAATAAAAATCCCATAATTTAAATTTTTTTTAAAAGTAACAAGTAATGTTTTGCATTATCATTATTCAAAAGAGAAACGCGTTACTCTATACTTTTAAAAAAATAACGAATAACATTGCTTTTCTCCAAAAATAAGTAATGCTATCAGCAAGGACGTCCTTTCATCGAAGTTATTTCACGCACAAGAATTTTAGGTAAAATTTGATAAAAAATTTTGCTTGAGCATTCTTAAAAATCTTTGAATAGCATTTATATTCAATTTATTTTTTTTGATTCTATTCTTCGAATAAGATCAAAGACATCTAAATGATTACTTTCTTCGCGAATGTATAATATAATTCGCAATTTATTTTGCAAATATTCCATTATTAAAAAAAAAAATAACAAACTAACAAATGATAATTTAATTAATTTTTTAAAAAATAATCATATATAACTTGATAAAAATGTTCTTCTTGTGATATGATTTTGAAGATATCCTTGGCGGTTCCTTCTGGATCCTTTAAAAAAAATTGGATATAAAAAATTAAGTAATCGATCGAATTTCCAATATCTTTTAATATAAATTTCAAGAAACATATCTCCTCGTTAAATCGACCATTCAAGTCGATGCCCCAAATCAATTAATTTTTTTTAAAAAATCAACAAAAATAGAGGCTTCTATGAAATAACGAAATTAAGTCGTTCAGACCTAAACTTTAAATATAATATATTATATACAACTTTCAATGCTTGATGATGGGCAATAAGATCAAGCATCAAAATTTTTAGGTGATTATCTTCATATATTTCTTATTAATGGCTAAAAATAAAATTCTAAAATCACATATAAGTATATTTGAAAAAATAGCATAAATGTAGAGACTCAAAAAAGTTACGAAAGGTTTAGGTGTAGTTCAGGATTTCTGAGAATATAATGGGACAATTGCCTTATCTGGGTTCCATGTTAAATCGATAAAAAAAAATAGGCCGACCCTCTTAAAATTTTTTAAAAATTTCTGGAATTATTTAGGTAGATATAAAAGTGGAGCTGTTTATTTTAGCTCGTTATCACACCTGTTATTCGAAATATAGGCTTCAAAGGTGCCAAAAATAATGAATCTGTAAAATTTTTAAAATGCTTATATCTCAAAAACTATTTATAGTAAAAATAAATACAATTAACATATTGTAGGTGAGAAAAAAATCATCTCCAAAGGTCTATCGAAAGAAAAAAAATTTGCGCCAATTTGAGTCTTTAGTTTCCGGCTTACCGATATTGTTTTACCTCTATTTTTAAATAGGAGTTGGTTTTAGGGAAAAAATTTTTGCATTTTATTTAGACACATTTTATAAATATATATACTATGTGAAAACCTTGGAGATGCCATCTTTCGAAATATGCATTTACCAAAAGGAATTTTTTGTTTTCATAAAATATAGAGCGCTATATGAAATTATAAATTATGGTTAAATTTTTGTTGCTAACTTACCAATAACAAGATATTTTAAACTAGATATTTAGATTTCTGGACCATTCAATGTCAAATCGATCAAAAAGGCTCCGGCCGACCCCTTTTAAAATTGTTATCATTTTGCTTGAATCATTTAGGTCGGTAAAAAAACCAGAAAATCCGTTTATTATTGCTAGCTAGCACACCTGGTTCCCGAAGGTGATGAAGATTTCACATCTATAAAATTTTTAAATTGCTTACATCTCAAAAACTTTTTAAGGCATGAATTCTATTAAAATCAATCTAAATGAAGAATATATCGTTCAGGCAGATTTTGGTGAAAATTATACATTTATGGATCAAGATGAAGTACAAGGATTTCATTGGAATAAAATGCAAGTTACAATTCATTCTTTTGTGATTTATTACGAGACTTAAAAATCACTTAAATTACGTAATAATATTGGAATCTCTCATTCATTTATTACCAGAATATTTAGTCCTCTACTTAACAGAAAAATCTTAAAGCCACCCCAAAAAATTCTTCTACTCTTCAGATAGAGTAGCATCATTATATAAGAATCGCAAAAATTTAATCAATCTTTGTCACCACGAAGATATTATTGGAGCAGAATGTCATTTCTGGGCCACATCTCATGGCAAATGACCGGAGTCGGAGGTACAGTCAAACGTTTAGTGATCAGGGCTAGTCTACAAAGATCTATTTCAAAACAAAAAACTTGTCTCATAAAGTTTTTTGCTTATTCTAAGGAATATATTAAAGGTATAAGGCATATGAATTTTTTTTATTATTATGGAATAGATTTCTTTTAGGACAAATATAAGACCAAATAATTTTAGAAGACAAATTCAATAAAGTGTGTACAATATGTGGAACGCAAAAATTTCATACTTTTATCCAATTTTCCAGATAAAATTGCCACCTCTCTCCTAATTTTAAAATGCTATCATCCTTTAATTATAAGAAGGATGATGATATTATAAGAAAAGGTGAGTTCATAAATTTTATTCAAATTCAACAGAATCGCAAATATTAAATATAACATTTCACTCGAATATTAATGCGAATTTAATATATGAAAAATGAATATACAACATGTATCTATGACATTCAATGGTGGGTGGCCTAGGTTTTAGAATAAAAATTCTAAAAAGTGGTGTTAGGCCATTTTCAAACAAAGCGTTTTCAGAGGCACGTTTTACAAATTTTTTTACTCCCAAACAGCAAATGATTTTTATTATAAAACATTTTATTAATTTGTGCAAAAAAATTTCCCCAGATAAGGGACCAATGTTACTTTAAAGCTAGTATTTACTTATTAAAATATAAAAGGTATATAAAGTACTTAAAGGACCAAATTATTTCAAATAGCCAATACAAATAAACAAACTGAATATTTAGAGGGAGTTATCTGAGAGAAAGGTAAAACTTAATTCTTATAAAGATTATTAAGATAAATTTATATATTTTTATTATAAAATTTACATTAATAAATGTATTGATACAAAAAAAATGTAGGCAATGAATATCTTATATAATATTAGTTTTTTACAATATTGAATTTCGCGCCCGGAATATTTCCCATGTGTACTTTGATATAATAAAATAATGATTTTGACATTTTGATATAATAAAGTAATAATTTTGACAGGTTAATGATAAAATACGAAATAATAAATATTGTTTTATAAATAAATAGCTCTAAGTACCAACCATTAGTTTCTTTAAATATAAAAATTAAGTGTTTGATGACAAATGATCTAGCTGGGCGCGAAAGGGTATTTAAAAAAAAATAAAGGATAAAGATAGAAAATCTATTTATGTTGCTATAACTTATAAAGAATTAAAATTGTATTAAATGACAATAATTGTGTATAATAAATAATTTGCAAGGGTTTTATTTGTATATATATATATATATAAATGTTTATAATATTCAATAAATATATGTAAATTTTATAAAATTTCAATAAATTTATACAAATTGTAAAAAAAAATTCAATAACAACATATCTGTCATATTGGCTAAGGTTTGTCATTAAAATATTTTTCTGGCATCCCCTCCCGTCATACTCTTTGTTTTAAGATATTCTGAAATAAATGTAATATCTGATTTGCTAAATATTAATATCTAATAATAATATCATAATTTCTTTTAAATTCATTGAATACCTTTTCTAATTTAATAACAGAAATATAAATTAATATATTTATATAAATCTTAAATTAATTCAAAAATTTAAAAAGGTGTTTAGAAAACTCAACAAGATATGACGCAATATTAAACTATTTTATCTTCTAAATTATAATCTATAATTTTGTATAAAATTTTTAAAAAAAAATTCTTATTTAATTTAATACTTTATTTGAGTTTACCAATATTAATTCTAAATTAGATGCCACCACCAACCAAATCTCGGAGTTAATAGCAATATTTACGGCGCAAATAGAAAAAGATGACAACAAAATATTAGGATTATCAATATCTCCGTCGCTGCCTGAAGCAAAAAACAACCCACAAGAGAACCCCTTCACATTCGGAAGCAATATTCAATCTACCAGCCAGGATATAAAATCATTCTTTATTCCCCAAGAACTACCTGTAGACCTTTCCAAAGACTCGACAGAATTCATCCTAACGGAAGAGGAGATTCGAACGCTAAACATTCAAGCGGAAACCGATAAGCCAAAGCTCATTAAAACAGCTAAGCACTTCCTGAACGCTATTTGTCTGGCGGAATCCATGCCCAACTTCCAGCTCAAAGGAAGGGATGTCTACGAGTTCCCAGCACTCAAATGCTATGTCAAAGAGATGAATATGAACTCTTCTCTGGATTACCTTAGAGCAATTGCATCCAAGGCCCAGATATATGCAAATTCGGTAGCTTGGGGTTGGGACAAGATCAAATATGAATCCCAAAATTCCATCTGCAGATTTGTAGGACCCCCCCCCCCAGAACCGCAGCCCTTTCGCGTTAACCCTGCTTACGAAGGTGGCCGCAAACAGGGAACAGCTACAAAAGGAAAACCCGGAACCACCGACGACGATGAGCCAACAATCATTGCTGTCAATAACAGGAGCGGAATCAAACGGGGCGCCAAGCCAAACCGTAAATGATTTCGTCCTAACCCTCCCGTCATCAGCACAACAACTCGGCATTTCAGAGGCTCTAGCACCTTGGGCGAATACCTGGATTTCGGCACTGGACAAAAAACATATCCGACAGTGGATCCGAGATGTTAGGTGACAGAAGTATTCGCCAGGAGGGGTGCCAGAGAAAGAGCCATCCGAGGGAGATGACATTGATGAAGACGACGCAGAGATCTCGTTTGACCTACCCATCACCGAGCAGTTCGAGCACGAAGAAGAATTTATCATTTTAGCGAACGTATTTATGGATAGATCTCCCCTTACTCTAGCACAGACTTGCCTCCATCAGCGCCGACGGTCGACAGTGCAACCATGGGACGCTTTTATAGACTGCTCAGGTTGATGGGAATAGACACTACAGACGGGACAACTCTGAATCTGGGAGCTTAGCTTGATCTAGCGTCATTTATCCTCAAACATCATCCTCTCCAATCGCCGTTCACGAAGAAAATCGCCTCAAGGGGTTTTTGCCCAAAGTTTGATAATCAAGACATCACGGACCATGGATGATATTTTCGTAACAGATTCATAAGACTGGCGGGCAGATATCAGCCAATTATCGACCAATTAGTCAACGCTGGAGTTATCGAGCAAACGGATACAACATTCTGCTCACCCCTGTTCCTAATTCCCAAACAGAACGGAACAGGGTAATCCGACTTTTCTAACTTGTCGAAAAATTTCATAAAATATCCGTTCAGACTCAAAACCATTCCAATGATAGCACCCATGTTGGCTAGTGAAAGGAAAGCGACGAAGATCGACTTGAAATCCGCGTTTTATTCTATCCCACTCGCGCTATAAAAACGTAGATTTTTCGGCTTTGCAACCGCTAGCAACAAATACCACTAGAAGACACTGCCGATGGGTGCCGGTTTCTCACCATACGTCATATACAAAATATCGTTCTGGATCTATGCAGCAAAACAGTCAGGAGAGCCAACTACTCAGTCTATCTTGACGACATAATCGTATTTCACGCGAATGAATAGTCTTTGAAGATACGATGGCCCTCCTAGATATGGCATCAGCATGGGGACTAATCGTAAACGTCACAAAGTCAATTACGATCTCATCGAGAAAAATTAAATATTTAGGCATAGATATGGATTTCGAAAACAAGACGGCCACATTAGACCCAGAAAACAGGAAGAGACTCCGTTTCTGCCAATTGATACTCTACAAACATACTTTACAAGCCATGGCTTTCGAAAAAGATAGAGCGCTGGAGGTGCTAGGCATCCTCAACCACTATACCTACTCGATAACCGGCCTATCAAGGGTTTTCACACCATACTACCATACTATGTTAGACACGGAGGGTATGCCGCCCATCGACTACATCAGAGCGTACCCCAAAGCTGTTGTGGCCATCACGGCACTTATGAAACCCTTCCCATTCACCTTCCCAATCGATTAATACCATCATCCACGTTGACGCCTCGAATACATATTTAGGCATAGCGGAAGGGCTGGAGGACAAAGCCTCATTCACATTTGATGAAGCAAAACTCTCCTTAGGCATCCCAGAGTACTCAGCCATGCACATCAACCAAAAGGAACTACTAGCAATCTGGGTTGGCTGTAAATACGGAATGAATAAATATGGAAATATACCATCAATTGTTACCGATAGCCAGGTAGCCTATACAATCGTCAAAAAAGGTGGGTCTAGATCACCCGTATGTGAATCACTCCTAACCAAGATCATGCTATTAATAGGATTCGCAAATTACGTCCATCTAGCACGAAACCTAACCTGGATTGCCTCGGAAAGTAACCTTGCAGATGAACCTAGCCGACAGTGGATTCTGGATGAGCTAAAAAAAAACAACTTGTTCACTTGATCGTATCAGAAGCCATATAATCGTTAAAAAATATCAAACTAGTTTAATATTTAAAAAACGCAAAACGTATGCATTAAAAAAACGTTGTGTTTGTAAAGGACACATCTATTAAACTGTTTCCTTGCTTTGAAAAAAACGTCGTGTTTGGAAATGGCATTGGTCAGTTTTTTGTGTCCTCAGGTACCCTCAAATTCTTATATATATCTGTCCTCATAAGACAAATTGGGGATATATAAATCATAAATTTTAGAAGTGGCCAGTCTTTCAACTGCTGCCAGACGAACATATATTTTACATAAAGATGAGATAAAACTACTCAACCTTTTAATTTATTAGCTTAAATATATAATTATTTATATCTCTAACTAAATTTTTCTATACCATTAATAAAAATGAATAATAAAATAATTATAAGAAAGAATTACTATTGGAAATTAGATACAATAAAATGTGGCATTTGTCCCCATAGCCCCTCAGTAATTGATACATGTAATAGAAATTCGAAATATTTTAATATAAAAATGCCCTGTTATTGGTAAGTTAGCAAGGAAATTTTTACCATAATTCGTACTTTCGTATAGCTCCTATTTTATGATAAATTTTCAATTTCTAGTAAAAATGCATATTTTGGTGATAGACTTGTCATGACGGTGCCCAAATAAAAGGTAAAAAAAATTTCGAAACCCAACTAATCTCATTGTTTAAAAAAACGCGTAAAGTAATATAGGTAAAAAGACTCAAATTGGGGCCAAATTTTTTTCTCTTTCAACAGATATTTAGAGATTTTTTTTTGCCTACAATATGATATATTATATTTATCTTTACTATAAATAATTTTTGAGATATAAGCATTTTCAAAATATTACAGATTCGAAAGTTGCTAATTTTCACATCTTTGAGAAAACCTTTTCTCGGTAACCAGATGTGCTAGCGAGCTAAAAATAAACGCTTTCTTATTTTTTTTACCTATCTATATTCCAGAAATTTTTAACATTTAAAATGGGATAGGCCCAATCATGATCAGTTTGATATCGTCAAATGGTTCCGGAAAATAAAACTACTTTTTTTTAAAAAAAAACTAGGAAAGATAATAAAACTGTCCAAAGAAAATCATTAATAATTTTTCTTTTAGGAAAACTTTTCTGAAGTCATAACTCGGCTTCGGTGACCATTTTTATTGATAAAAGGAATGTGGGCAAGGATTGATTTTTAATAGGTATAATATAAGCTATTATTTGTGATTTGTAGTCGAGAAGTTTGATCATTTGAATTGAAAATCAATCAAAAATTATTTTAAGGATAACATCGGTCAAGCTTAAGAAGGTTGGATATGATTTAAAAAATGAAATGCCTTAAAAGAAATTTAAAAAGAAAAAAATTCCCTGCAATAATGTGGGAGTAAAATTTATAATGGGGGGGGGGGCAGTTAATTGAGTTTATCATAGAATAGAATTAGAGGCAAAATATATTTGGTATAGATAAAATGTATATAGCTTTTATTTTATACTGTAATATTGAATGGTTTTTTGACTTCTTTCTTAGCTAATAACTGAACATTGCCATCTTCATAATAATGTACCTTTTACAAAGATATAATATGAAATAAAATTTAAAAACATTTTGTAATTTTGCTGGAATGATTTTGTGTAAAAAGAAGGAATATATAATATAAATTTAAAAAATGTGGAAAATTTACTCACTATAATTTTAAAAACTCCTTTCAATTCCCCACTCTTCCCATCTTTGTGAAAATTAGCTACCCAGCATGATCTCCATCTTCCATTCCTAATTCATAAAAGAGAAAAAAAAGTAAGTTAACATTTATATATTTTTTTAAGTATAATTAGCCTTGATCATCACCATTCTAAACATCTTTTGAATTGACTGGCCTTAACAAAATGAGATTTCTTATAAAATGTATTTATTCAAATGTAATTTTATTATAATTAACTTGCCTTGCTGTGTCAAAATCGTTCTTTCATAATTTGTTTATAAATAATCATATGATTGACTTTAATGTATGTGCAGCACAATACAATAAAAATGATTCCAGTAAAAAATTCTCTAAAATATGATTTTAGTGATGAAATAAATACAACACTTGACACTGAAGTTCAAGACTTGGATGAGGGTTTGGCAAAATCTCGCAGGCTTGAAGGGCTTAGGGTCCAGATTTTCAGCACTGAGAGAAATAGCACGAACTTGAGATTTGATAATTGGGAAAGAAATGTTTTTTTAATCTAATAAAGCCCTTATTTATCTTGGAACAATGAAAATGGTTAATAGCAAAATAAATTTTTTTGGAAATATATTCAGCAGAGCCTTGCACAAATGACTATGTTTGACCAAACTCTCGTAGGTTCTATAAGGCATTTTCTTGAACTTAGCCAGATTTAAAATTTATTTTGGAAAGGATTATACATAAAAAAAAAATTTTTCAATTATTTTATTTTCCTATTATGGAAATTTAGGAATTCAAACTGAACCTATACTGTTAAAAAAATATGACACATGGATTGAACCTCAAATGTCTGTGAACTGATTCAAACCTTGATTTACTAATTTTTAATGATGATTAGTAATCAGTTTTGGTAGATAAGTATTGGCAACATTTTTATACTATATGGTAGTCAGCTGCAATGCAGCATGTAGAAGTTTATAGAATTTATTTTTTCTTCTAATAGAGATAATTTGATAATCAAGATTTTGAAATGCTTTTAATTGTATATGGCTCAATATTATTTTTATTTTTTTTAAAAAAGTATGTTTCTCTTTACAAAATTCTAATAAACTTGTAAGCATCTGAGCCATTTTTAAAGGTTCAAACTGAAATAATATTATTATTTTTATCCAAACCTAGATCGATATTTATTATGATTCAGATCCATGTGGAAATTTTTTCTAAAATAATCATAAAATCAGTCATCATACTTTTCCAATCAAGAGTCTAATAATAAAAAATCAGATTACCTATTTATATTGGATCAGATCAGTCAAACAAAATTTTTTAAATTAATTCTTGGATTAAATCAGACCAAAGAAAAGGTATGATACAGGGCAATTTAATATATTTTTAGTTTTTAAATCAGTATTTGTCAACAGTTCACTTATAATAATTGATTAAATATAACAAGCTTTAATTTTATTTTAAAAATATTTATGGTTTAATTGTAATACTTAAAATATATTGATCAGTTCAACAAACCAAAAAACTGTATGTTCAACCTTCTATAAGAAAAAGCTTTTATAAATCACGAAAGAAAGAAAAAAATTTTGAATATATAATTATTCACTACCATAAAAAAAGAAGATTGATTTAAAATATTTATTACAAAATAAAAAATTGTTTATTTCTTACAACTATAAAAGCAAGCAACAAATATTACCAGTAATTTTTGGGATTGAAGTTATGATCTTCCAGACAACATACTAGAACTCTAACATTTCCATCCATTCCTGGACTATTGTGTTGTAAGCTATAAACTGAGGTTGAGGCATTAGGATAAAAATCTTTGGTGTAGACTTCATAATCCTTTTCAAATGCAATTCTCCACTTTTCATCTCCTTGATCGGGACAAACTTTTGATTCTGAAAAACTACTAGCTTGCCTCTTAAGATGATCAAATGAAAATATTTTTTTTGATTTTGGATCAATATATTTTCCATTGCCCTGATCTGAGTATGGAGTTATTAAACACTAAAAATTTTTTAAATATAAAGCACATAAATTTATATTACAGTATTCTTTTCATCTATTTTACATGGAACAAAATGCTCCATGTTATATTTTGCTATGACCCTATTTTAATATTATATATCAAAATAAATTATTCATCTTACTTCATAACACCTTCTTTTAATATATTGTCATTATCTAAAAGTAGTCTAACATCTAATAAAATAGTTATACAATTGAATGTATTTTATATAAAAAAACCGTTAAAGACTTCATTAAATTCGCCAGGTGGAGATTGTAAAAGAAAATCAGTTGCTATTTTTAGCTATATTAAGATAGATATCAATAGATTGAGGAAATAAATGTACCTTTTCTGTGTCAGATAATGCTGGTTCCATATGGATTAAATTTCGAATTCTTACCAATGAATTCTCTTAAATGAAATTAATAATATCGAAATGTATAAATAGTGAATGTAATATATTGTTACAATATTAGAAATATTAATTTATTTAATTACAGTGTAAGTTATTATAACGAAAACAATAAAAATAAAAGAATGAAAAAAATATGTATCTTTATTTTTTAAACGATCCATTAATATATTACAAAACAAACACTACAAAAATACATATTATAAATTTTATTTAATGTAATTTTTTTGCATTTACAATTTTTATACTACTTATTTTTTTTTTTATAAAATACAGTATAATATTTTTTTCATTTAATATACGACAAATTTTATCTAGTAACAGTAACACAAATTCATTATATATAATCCTGATCCTGTTTTATCTAATTCAATATCTAATATATCACCTACAAATAATTAACATATTAGCAATTTTCTCTCTTTAAGTGGTGATTCTATTATCGATCCAGTGTCTCGGTAATTCCAAGAAGGAAATATAAAAACTGGGATAAGGAAAAAATAGATATAACAAAAAAATTATTATCTGCATTTGAGAGAGAGAGCGAATGAAATAAAAGATATCGCTAATATAGATATGTCTATATCGTCTATTAATAAACTAAGATGCTAAACATTTCCCGAAATCATCGGAGACCTTTTGAGAGATTATGTAATTGGAAAGAGAGGTAGAAAAAAAGACACCTATATAGAAAGAAAAATAATGGATCTTTTATTGGGTAACAATACATTCACTATTAAAGATATCATAGAAAATTTACCACCGGGATTTCCTAAAAATGAAGGAACTATAGGAAAATATATTTTAAAAATAGGATGGTTCAAAAAACGTGCAGGAAATGAACCTGATAGGAGGAACACACCGGTCACAGTCAATATAAGCCAAATATATTGTATAAAAATATTGAATATAGTTAAAAAAGCCGCAACTAAATCCAATAGAAAATTTCTTTTGGATATTAAAAAACAAATATATGTCAATCAATACACCACCAAATACAACAAACGAAATCTTTCATAATATAACATAAATTCTTAATAAATTTACTATTCCTTATGACTTTTTAAGTTATTATAATAAGATGTATCAATATTTGGAGATTGGTTAACGAGAAAAACCATTGAATTAAGGTAAATTTATAAAAATATAATTTATATTGAAATATATTTTAAAGAAATATAGAAAATCGGAATACATAAAGAAATAACGAAAATTAAAATATCTAATTTTTAAATATTTTAATGTATTTTTTAAATCTGTTTTGTTATATATTATATATTTGATCTCATTATTTTTTTGAGTATTAAGCAAAAATAAAAAACATATGGTTACATTTTTTTAATTTTTTGCTTTTATTATATTAACTTACCCTGTATATAAAGTATATCTAGTTTAGGAATAATTTTATAACAATTGTAGACGAACGTAAATGTAATTTATAAACTTTTAATATAAGTTATATTCAAAATTTTATAACCTTGTATCCTTTTTATTTTTATTAACTTAAAATTTCATTTATTTTTAACATATTTTTAAAGTTTTTTGACCAAAATGCGTTAAAATAAGTATTGCTAGTATGTTTAAATAAAACTTCAGTGAAGATGTACCCTAGATAAGTGGCAATTATCATAATCATTATTTTTAAACTTTTTTAACCTAAATGGGTAAAAATATAGATTGTAAACATGTTAAATTAAAATTTCATGAAGATGTACCATAGAAAAGTGACAATTGTCATAATCGTTATTTTATAACTTATTTAAATTTTTTGACCTAAATGGGCTAAAATAAGTATTGCTAACATGTTTAAATAAAATTTCAGTGAAAATGTACCATAGATAAGTTACAATTGTCATAATCGTTGTTTATTTTGAATTGTTGTAAATGGGTAAAAGAATATATTGTAAACATGCTAAATTAAAATTTCATGAAGATGTACCATTGAAAAGTGACAATTGTCATAATCGTTATTTTTAAAGTTTTTTGACCAAAATGTGTTAGAATAAATATTGCTAGCTTGTTTAAATAAAATTTCAGTAAGATGTACCCTAGATAAGTGACAATTATCATTCATTATTTATAAACTTTTTTTGACGTAAATGGGCCAAAATAAGTATTGATAATATATTTAAATAAAACTTCAGAAAAGATGTACCCGATTTGGAGCTGTAGTCATACAAAAATATGATAATGGTAACGAATTTCCAATAGCTTACACCTCAAGAAATTTACAAGATATTCTACAATAGACAAAGAAGCAAAAGCAATAATAAACGGCTTAGATTGTATAGACGAAAATTTAAAATACGAACAATCACAAACCGGTAATAGCAGAGATTTAAGCTCATTAACAAACCAAAGATTATTACGTTCGGCTAATAAATTATTTGCATATGATTATGATATATTGTACAAGAATGGCGCTAATAATATAATTGCAGATGCTTTATCGCGAACCCAATAGAGAAAAATGATGATAGAAAAGCGAAAATAAAACAGTGAAATATATAAGAAATCTTACTTATGACACATTAACTCTATCAAGAAAAGAACTTAGAGAGGAAACCGCAAAAGATCCAATTTTAAGAAAATCAAAAATATTAATAAATGGTACAAACCAGAATTACAAGCTTTTAGAACAAGAATAGATGAAATAGAAAATGATGACGGTATATTTTGGAATGGCAGATTAATCATTCCGTACTCACTTCAAAAAAGAGTTTTACATATATTGCATACGGGACATCATTATATATGGTGGAAACAATTAGATAAAGATGTCGAAAAACTAGGATGTTCTTCACTTAAAAAAAACGATTGGTAAAATAAAAAAAAAATATTGTTATTGATCATTTAATTAATCATGATTTTTCTTTAGTTTGTTTTTGGCGTGGGCGGGCCGAAACCTCGCCTAATGCAGACCTCTAATGTATATAGCGTTCACATAATTTTCCTCATTGGTAAAAAATAAAAAAAGTGACGGATTATTTGTGAATATATAAATATTTTTATTTAATATACGCTCTTTCCCTAATCGTTAAAAATATAATCTACATTTCCTTCTGTATTGAATAGATTTGTATTTGGGTGCTTTTAATATGATTTTAATATTCTGTATCTGTTTTGGATAAAAAAATTTGAGGCATTAAAAAAATTTTAAACTAAAATTAAAATAATTGTATTTATATAAATTTGCAAAAATTTTAAAATGTAATAATTTATAAATTCAATGAAAAAAAATTCCGCCCATACGATTCTTATAAAAATAAATTTTCGTTTCAAAATGTAGTAATAATTTAGAAATTCTATGAAAAGAAATTCCGCCCATTACGATTACTAATTCATATTAAAATTAAGTTTATTGATGATTTATAACAGTTATTTTATTCCTAAAAATTTAGAAGGGAAAGTATTAAAAATTGAAATAGTGGTAGGAACGTGAGCTAGAAGAATTTCGGCACCATTTATTGTCTCTAGTCTATATAAACTATAAAATTAAATGATTTTGAAGTTCCCAACAAAGATATATCAATAATAGGTAATTTAAGCTATTTTTATAGTAACCATGTATACTTAGACCTGGGCCGGCTGCCGACCTTTTTTGGTTACGTCAAAAACGCCGCCGTTTAAGAAAAAAAAATTTCTTTCACGTTTTATATCTTTTTATTCTGATAATTGGTCAACATCCCTCTTGTAATTTTTTAATGTCAATCAGGATTTTGATGAATTTTTATTTTCTACTATTTTAAAATCATAATTATATTGACTCATTATAGAATTCAATCAATCAAAAATCTAAAAGTTACCATAATTTCATATTTTTAAAATGGATGTATCTACATTTAATAATTCTATAAATAATTTTAGTATCCTAACTCTGGATAATAAAAAATCCATAGTCTGGAAATTTTTTGCAAAAGAATTAGAGAAATTATTACTGCTCTAAGATATAAAACTGCAGAGGTTGAATTTGAATTCGAGGAATATTAAAGAAAATGTCTAAGTACAATAGAATTAACATCAGACATGTTAGATCTTGACAGCATTGATCCATACCCGGGTACCCGTTTTCAAATTGGCAATTACAATGATAATAATAACAATAATTCCACATATATGAAAGCCTTAAAATTAAATGCCCCAAGCCTAATAATTATGCTAGAAAGCATATCAGGATTAAAAAAGCATTTAATTAATGTTTTGAAAAGAATTGGGAAGCACTTTCTCAAATTATGAATCTGATCTGGTAGAAGAACTATTAGCATTTCTTTCAAAATTTAAAGAAACTGTCGAATTTCTTTCAGTACATACAAGGGCCTACTTTAAACTTGGCGTTACTTTTTAGAAGTGAAATTTAGTGATAGTTCTGAAATTATTTCACTTAAGGAAAATATACTAAAAAATCTTGGGTTACGATTTCCGGTTGGTAATCGGCAAGTAATATTATATAAGTATATTCTTTTATTTTTTATTTAAAATTATCTAGGTATTGGCTTCTCTTTTAGATCCAAGATTTTAAAAATTGACAATTGTATCAAAGTATTAAATAGAGTAAAATTGCTCAGCTTCAGAATTTATAATAAAACATCTTAAGCTTATAGAGAATGGTGATAATCAGGTAGTAAATATAGCTAATGAGGATAAATTATTAAATTCAGTTATTTGGCAAAATTGGCAAATAAACATTCAACAAATATAAATTATGAATCCAAGTTAAGTGACTTAGAACAAGAATGTCACAGTTTTCTTGGAAAACGATATTCACAAGATATGGACGTTCTAAACTTTTGGAGAGAGAAGAAGAGTGAACTTCCCAATCTTTCCAGGCTCGACAAAATTATTCTTTGCATTCCGGCGACTAGCACACCTAGTGAAAAAGTTTTCTCTACCGCTGGTTTGACGTTAAATTAAAGGAGATCATCATTATGTCCCGAAAATTTAAATAAATTAATTTTTATAAATGATATTATAAAATTACGAAATCGATTTTGGATATAAGTTTTCTATTAAAAAATATACGGAGATATCCGTAGAATAGTGTATATTTATTTGTTTTTT